ATATCATCAGATTGGTGGTATTCTATTATAGAGCAGTAGTTTGATATAAGTTTTTTAGTGTTGGTTTAGATTATTTGGAAGTGTATTTAAAAAAATTATATTAATATGAGAAATAGATATTAGGTCTTAAAAGAAAAAGAACAAAACAAGAAAAACTCCAAAAGAAAAAATAAAAAAAATCTTGTGTATTTTTTGAAAAAGCCAAAAATAAGTTGCTTTCAATTGCAAAACAAATTAGAGAAGAGGATTATAAATAGTAAAGAGAAAAACTACTAAAGAAAATTTTAAAGAATTTGAAAAGATTGCTAGCTTAAACAAAAAAAAAGTAAAAAGATTAAAACAAATTAGAAAAACAGAAAAAAAAAAGCAAAGAAAAAACCTTTAGTACAGAGTAGAGAACTGATAAAACTAATAAAGAAGATAAAAAAAAAGAAGGCAAAAGTATAGAAAAATTAGAAATTAAATTATCTGCAAAAAAGTATAAAATAAATTAGAAAAGAAAAAATATATATTAATTTAGAAATAAATAGCAAATTATTTTTACAAAAAAAAAATATTTTAGATAGCCAAATAGAAATAGAATTAAATAGAATAATAGTATAGTAAAAGAGTATACAGATAAACTTGATTCATTAAAATTAAACTAAAATCTCTTTGAGGTCTTTAAGATCTCTGAGATAACTTGGTAATAACCTTCTAAGTGTGAGATTACAAAACTCTACCTAGTATAGCAGACCTTTTAAGTATTTATAAAGATAGTTAAAAGATATCAGATCTAAATATTAAGCTCAATATTATATAATCTACTTATATAATAATCTTAATAAAAGATTACTAACAAGGTTGCTAAAAATAAAAATAATTTTTTATTTACTAATAATTTTACTATATTAAAATTAAAAAAATTAACTTTACAACTTTTATTAATAATCTATAAAAATTTTATTATATGAAGTTTTATAAATTAAAACTAAATTTCAATTTAAAGATTAGGTTTAGTGTTAAATTAAGATTAAAGTATATAAATATATTCAAAACTATAAGCTAAAAACTTTTACTTAAAAGCCCAAAGTGGGTTTACATAATAAAATTTTGTGATATTTAAAATTTTTAATTTTTTTCCTTAATTTTTTAATTTTTAACCTTCGTTTTTGTTACACAAGATCCTGTAATTTGATTGGTTACTTATATATACGAGTTACATAACCAGGAGGGCAAGTTAGCAACATCCAAATATAAATATAAAATTATATGTTAAATAAATTTAAAGTTAATAATAAGAATTTTTTAAAATTTAACTTTTAAAACTATACAAAATTAAGTCTTTTGTACTAAATTTAATATAGCTAACGGATACCTATTAAGTTAGCTTTATCAGAGAATATAATCTCTAGCTTTTATTAAATAAGCTTGAACCAGAATAGTGATGTATTTTTTAAACTCAGTTTAAAATTCGAGTTACCTGACCGTTTATAGAGGCACTATCTGGAATTCTGGTCGGCTAGGCCGGAATTGATTAATTTTGCTCAAGAACACTAAAAATTTTACTAATGAAGTCCATTCACTATGTAAAATGCACAGCTGATAATTTTGCTGTAGACTATGTTGGCTTAATGGCGGCCCAGCACCGATTCACTCCGACCCGGAATTCTGCCCTGTAAAAAATTAATGCTAGACAAAAAATCTGATGAGGTAATTTGATACGTATGTAATATTTGTTATACATTTTTCTGAAATTTAGAATCGAACATTACATATAATGTTTGAATTCCAATGGTTTAGAAAATACACAAACTTTGATGAGTAATAATTTAATGATTATACAGTAAATAATTACTGTAAATTTGTAGGTCTTTTAAGAAATCTAATACCTTTACAGAATTTTTTTATTTTTTTGTAGGTTACAATAATTGGCATAATTACTGACCACTTTCGGTTTCACCCATAATATCCAACCACAATGCAACCAAAGCGTCAAATGAACCGACAAAAAAGCCATAAAAGGAAAAAATTAAAGCAAAAATAACCCAACATTTTTCTTTCCACCCTTTTAGTTGGTTCCAACCAAACAATTTTACCCAAAATAAAATTGGAATAATAGATAATAATAGACCATTACCCGAAGCACCCAACAAAGCCATCAGATCCGAAAAATAAGGAATAGTAACAGCCAAATAAGTTGTAATTATCACGATTGATAATCTTAAAAGGACTCTAAAGAAGAATTCACGAATTTTACCAATATTTGTAACATTAATACCCAAGTAATCTTCTATTTCTAAACTAAAAGCGGTTTGATATATTGGTAAAGCTAATAAGACGTGAGCTGTCATCATTAAAATTGAAGTTGTCACGGCAAAACCCGACGGAAGGTTTAAGTATATTGGAGAAAGAGTCGTATGACCATAAGTTATGTAAGCAGGAATGCCAATTAATAGATACATTAATGTTACAGTACACATGGCAAAGATGTAAACTTTTGGCCATGAGCGTGGATGTTTCATGCTAGAAATAATATTAAATAGTTATTTTTCATAAGATATTTCCCATAAGATGACAATTGTAATCGTAATGACAATAAAATAAAATTACCTTGCTTCAACATGAGGAAAAACTATGTTTCCAGCATAACTGAAACTGAAGGTTGCCATTGCGATGGGTATGTCACGAAAGTTCACCAAATCATGATGAATGGGTATATTTTGAGGAAATTCCATAATAGACGTTACAAATACGACCAATACGGCAAGTGCGGTTGTTAATGCACCGAAAACACTATTGAAAATTCACAAAGTAGCCTTTTCGATTTAGAAAGAGGTACGTACAAAATAGGAAACCGGATATCACGTGACAAGGACCAATACCTCAACTTACCTCAACCAAGCAGCCTCTTTCATAGTCTTTAAAAATATAAAAGGCACAGCCATAGCAGCAGAACAAATGTAGATCCAATTATTCATACCCAAATCAATTCCAATATTTACGAACAAAGGTTGGAGACTATCACCGGCCAGGACTAGATAAAGAATAGAACACCCTATACTTATAGAAGTAAAGAAGAACCCTACGATACGTAAACCAATATTGCCAAATGCGTCATATGCCAAGTCAGACATTGAAGTTTTTCGAATCTTGCTAAAAAGGTGAAATTACAATTATATCAAGCGCTATAATAATAATAATAATAATAATAATAATAATAATAATAATAATAATAATAATAATAATAATAATAATAATAATAA